AACACTAAAGTTTGGGGAGTGCCAGCGTCACGGCAAGCAAAATTTTATCTTCGGTTCTAAAAGCTGTAAAGAGATAATTCAGACACAGCAACAAATTGTTTTATCAAACCCGTTTACTGTTAACATAAGACTGGCTAATAGTTTACTATTTGTTTGACAGATCAACGAATTTAGCAGTTCGCGTCCGCCACATGCCGATGCGCCACGTTAATTTGATCTTTCAACTAAATTTAGAATGCCAGGCCATTAAAAAACAATAAAATATAAACAATAGAAAAAGCAATGAGCCAGCTCATACATACTGATGACTTTGCTCTCTAGAGCGTTTTCACTCACGTGACCAAATTTCTTTATCGTCATGGTAACTGACTTCATCCGCCATGTTGGTGTTCCATGAGAAATCAGCTGTGAGTATTGTGACAGGAAACATTTGGAGCACATTTTACGGTTTTGAGAAGACAATCGTGTAATATTTATATTTTCGTTATCACAGTCCTTTGCCTTGTCATTAGCTGTGGGACATGACCTACATGACAAATAAAGTAAGTAAGTATGTATGTATGTAAGTATGTATGTAAGTATGTATGTAAGTATGTATGTAAGTATGTATGTAAGTATGTATGAAAGTATGTATGAAAGTATGTATGAAAGTATGTATGAAAGTATGTATGTAAGTATGTATGTAAGTATGTATGTAAGTATGTATGTATGTATGTAACAAAACAGGGAAGAAGTGGTCTAACGTCGAAAAAGTAATGTTTTTTCGTGTCCCACGTGTTCAGTAAAGTAAAGGAGAGTACACCGAAGGACTTACTTCTGATCGAAGAAGAATGTGGACCTGTGCGATAAGTAGAGATGACTTAACTGATGATATTTAAGAAAGCGATAGGGTCTGCAGCCGGCACTTCGTTTCAGAGGAAGCTGCGAAAGATCGGGATCGATTCAACGTAGACTGGGTCCCTACCCTCCATCTTGAGCAGTCAAGTATGCAGGTCCATTGCATCGGGCAACTATTTTATTTTCCCTATAATAAAGTGGGTATTCTTTCTCTCCAAAATTTTTTTAACTGTAGAGATACTGTGTGCTACCAGAAATTTTGGGTGAAGTTTCTCTCATTCATCCCCTTAACCCAATTATTTTTGCTTGTTTTTGCAGACTGGCAGCTAGAGGGCCAGTGGTAACATGCACAAACCAAGCATGTCCCATCTCTACTTTTCATTTATCTTGTTTGAAAATTACAAAAGTACCTAACAAGTGGTGCTGTCCCTTACCGAGTGAATCTGCCTTTATTTTTGCAGCCGGGTTTGTCGAAGGATCGAAGCAGTGTGCACATGGAGAAGGCAGCGAACGTAAGGAGAAATGCGTAGGTAGAAAGTCTAACTTTTCCTTTTCAAACCTGAAAGACTACTTGAAATTCAAATAGCTGAAGCTGAGGAATGAAGAGGGTTATGAGGGACCGTGTAGAAACTTTGCTTTGGTGTTTATAAGCTCCAAGTTGGCAATTTTACAACACGTAAGCTAAAATATTTTAATTCACTCATTCACTGTGCACAGGATCGCTTACAATTTTTTTTTGGT